TTCCAATGTCGATGCTTGCCCCGTTAGTGTGGACTCACACAGTTGAATTACTGTCCTTAGTGTGGATACACACGTTCGACTTTGTAATATCGATTCCACATATTCGATTTAAGTAAAATCGTACTACTCTCGTAGTGTAGACATAAGAATTGTCCTGATGGGAGAGTAGTTGGATTGCAGGTTTGAGGATATGGGTAAGAAATAGGGGGTAGCAGTGGAGTTTCATTTTCAGTATTCCTGTTGCCTCTCCCTCCACTTTCTGACACAATGCAAGTTTTATCAGGTGTCGAAAAAATTTACCTCTCTTGGAAATAGAGTGAGGTCAGGTTGCAGACTGCTCCAGGCCCACAAGTAAAAAAGTCCTTAAGCAATGCTTTCTGAGTACACAGTTCCTCCTGCCAAGAGCAAAAGAAAAAGATCCATCTGGTTATGCTGATTTTTATAATACCTATCCTCAGCTATACACCATAGCTATCTCATATGAACGAGCAGGTCTGGCACTGTCATGGTTATATCTACCATAAACATGGTAGACCTTGTACTGGCATTACTGTAAAATGGCATTTGGTTGGTTTCTGATATCAGCACTGCTATAACTCTCATGAGCAGCATAGTTTTGATATTATCTTTGATATGCTCCCACAGGGTTAGTAGTTCTTGTATTGATACTGCCAATATTCCCTTTCTTCTATAAGCCCCATCAACTAGATGTTCTGGTACTGCCACCACTTTGACTCACATTGCTTGGTACTGGCAATGTCCCTGGGTTCAGAACAGTGGTGGAGGGTAGCTGTCATTGTCACTAACATATTCACCTGACTGAGATCCTGGGGGTGGAAGGTGATGATGGCCATGGTGTGTCCACTGCTATTGGTGCGTACTATGAGCTCGCGCCAGTGGCCACCCTGGTGAAACAGGAGGCAGGGATCCAGTGGGGACTGATGAAGAAATTCCTCATAGTACTAAGTATAAATAAAGTACAGATGAATACCACTGATATTAGATTAAAGAGAATTCCTATAGTCCTATACATAGTATCATAATTCTAACCTTATTAGAAAGTTTACGCTGCACATGTACAAAACTAATTTTTCTATTGCTTATAACTTCACTTAAATGTATCTATAAAAAGCTATCTTGAAGATTAGTTCCCAATGAAAACAAGCCACTTCGAAAGTTTCAACTTGTAAAATTCAGCTATTTGAGCATTACTGTCCTGGAATCTTAACATTTCCTCTGCCCTGCAGAAAGAGAGTGACTTTACAGGAATTCAGCCGTAAGGCAGTTTTAAGGCTCCAGGATTCAATGCATGTGCAAGAATGGACAAATTAACTGCACTCAGTTTTCAGAAATATTTACTTTTTAGTCAGGACCGAGCTTGGACAATTTTCAGTATGTTACAAAGCATGTGAATATGGATTTATCGTGAAAACCCAGCGTAATCTCAACTATAGCGTTTCCTACCAAATAAACATTGTCACGTCCTTTCTTTACTCTGTCTACATACACACATGCTCTTTATTACCTGGGCCACTTGTTTGTGTTTTTCGGGTATGTTTTCCAGGTGGTTGGCTCGCACACAGACAATATTCCTTGCTGTGGAAAGACAGATGGGTGTTTAATCTCTCATTGTGGTCTTGTAACAGTACCCTGAAACAGGGAATAGTAAATCGTTGTACTAATGCCAGGTACTGCACAGTAGATAGATAGGAAGGTCTATCCCTAGATCTCTGGGAACTCCACTACACTGGAATAACAGACACACTTGTGTCTCAATTCCCCCTACTCCATCTAATTTGAGTCAGGGTCTAAGGCAGCCTCCACGAGGTATCAGGTTTGTCCTTGCCCAATTATGTAATTTCAGTATTTTGCAAGAAATGTTTAATGCTCTGTCAGCTTCTTTAAATCCATTTTAATGCAACTGCTTCCTTTGAGCAAGATGTTTTTAATAATAGCTATCAAAACCAATTCACTCTGCTTCTGCTAACTGGGAAGTAATGGAATGGGCCCAGAGCGGTGACACAGTTTAGACTGACATGGCATTGCTCAGACAGGCTTATAGTGGGATGACCAAACCCTGTAGTTCAGCAATCAGAAGGCAAAGCCAAATGAACCCATGAGATTTATTTCCAAATGAAAATGCTCACGATCACTGCCCCCAGTGCATGAGTCTGCATCAGGCACATGTGTAGCATGGCACCATTGCTAGAAAAGGGCTGAAAATATAAAGGAAAATAGACTGGGTTTGGTTGGCTGAGGCTGTGCTCCCTCTTTAATCTAGCCTCTCACCCATGATCCACTTGCATCTAAGCTACCTCAGAGCTCTGGTTTTTGGCTATATCCAGGGCCCCCTATATTCCATGGCTGTGAACTTTGCCATGGAATTCACCCCTTGCCACAGAATTTTGATCTGGAATTTAAGTTTTCTGTTTAAAAAAATTGTGGCTAGTTCTCATAGTTACAAAGAAAAGCTTAAAAACTTGAACTGAGGGCTAGTCTACACGGTGGAGTAATGCACCCTACAAGGGTGTGATTTCTGAAGCACACTAATGTGTTGTGCATTAATTGTTTGATGTAGACCCTGCTGGTGTGTATTAAAGGTTCCTTAGTATGCTTTAATTTAGTGCTGTTCCTAATGATGTTTGGGACAGTACTACGTTTAAAGCACACTAGGGATCCATTAGTGCTCACCAGCAGGGTCTACACAAACCAATTAATGCACCAACACACTAGTGTGCTTTAGAAATCATACCCTCATAGGGCGCATTACCCCACCACATAGAGAAGCCCTGGGTACAAACAAAACAGCAGTGCCTTCCTGAGCCTGCAGACAGCTAGAAACAACATCTCAGACAGGTATGAACTGGACCATTCAATTTATGAAGTGTTAATCATGGCCAAATATGACAATTTAAATGTCAACATTGCTAATGATTTTACTACCAAACTTTTAGAAGGAAGAGCCAGCTGATGTGCTTATCCCACAATCCCAAATGGTCTCCCATGACTGCTCAGGTGCCCAAGCCACAACTGCCACCTACCCAACTGCCAAAACCTCCAGCTTCCCCCTTGATGTGCTTCTGTAACATGGTTAGCCTTAGTCAATACACACATCTGCAGAGTGCTGAAAATGTGGGCTCAGCATAAAATCAGTATAACAATATAAACAGAAAGAACAGGGGCTACTATCTTGATTGTGGTGTTTACTTCCGAATTTATTAGAAACCTATTTTTTTTTCCAATTTATCCATAGCCACCACAGAACTGCTAACATTTCCACCAAAGTTACGCAGAATTCAGGGACCTTGCTACACGATTAGATCCAAAGTAGAAGGCCGTGACTATGCCTATGAACCAGTATGATCTAAGTAGCTTTCAGCCTTGTGCTTTGTCGTGCACTGACCTCTGCCAGTTCCCACATAGAGCCCCACAGTTTTTGGGTTCCCATCAGGTCCTTTGTTCACAGAAAATGTGGATTTGTTTCGGTAGCCATTAATGACGGGCTGGGGAGAGAAGAGGAAAGGGTAAAGCCAGGAAGCAAGAAATGATGGGGGATGGGAATCAATTCTAGGCATTTTATTAGCAGCATGAGACGTAGCACATGACTGTCAAAGAGTATACCATGGAAGGGTGTGTAAGTACCTAGACCCCAGAGTGTTTGCCAGGGGAGCAGTTTAGCCACCCCCTCTTTCCCAGTCGTGCTCTGTGAATACAGGGCAGGAGGTTTATTGGGGACTGGGATCCCTGGGATACTTAAGGTGGTGGAGTGATGGGGGTGATGATTGGAGCTTTTCATGGGCTATAGCCAGTGGATGCACACAGGAGGCTGGGTTGGATCCAGGGCAGGGGTTTTTAGTGGGTAGAACGGCCTCACAGCCCAGGGCTCTCATTAGATGTAGAGTAGACAGTTTGGCAGGAGCTGGACTCACTGTGGTTGTTCTGAGTGCGTAGCAGTTTTCCCCACCATGGCACTCAGCAGAAGCAGGGGAAGAGATTTGTCAGGGCTTACCTCTCCTGACATTCCCATGAAAGATTTCTCTCCAGTACTCACAGAGGGGACAACAGAATGGAGGGGACAGCAAAGCCCATCTGGCCTTTGTGTGATTTCCAGTTTGTCTGTACCAAGCTCCCTCAGACAAGAAGCCAGTGTCTGCAACACCTTCTTCTGACTCTCAGACTTCACCTGCAGAAAAGTTCCAAGGCACTAACATTTACACTGGAGGAAGCTTGCTCATCACAACTGGAGAGAGAGTGCACCCCACTGAGCAGGAGAAAATACTGTAACCAAGCCACAGCCCTATAAGAGCTTCATACTTGTCCTTAAGTTATACTCCCTGGCCACTCAGAGCTTCACAGCAACAGCAGGGAGAGAACCTGGATCCTCATGTTCTTAAAGCACAGGCCTCTACCACTTGAGCTAATGGAGAGTCTCAATATAACACCATAGGGCCTATAACACACTGGTTCTGATTCCATCTAGTAGAGGAAGTAGTACACGCATATACTTCTATCCAGTTAATATAGTATAGATCTATCTATGAGGTTACTCTAAAACAGGGGTAGGCAACATTTGGCACGCGGCTCGCCAGGGTAAGCACCCAGGGAAGCCGCGGCCAGCACATCCCTCGCCCGCACCGCTTCTTGCCGCCCCCATTGGCCCGGGACAGCGAATCGCGGCGAGTGGGGGCTGCGATTGGCCGAACCTGCCGCGTCAGCAGGTAAATAAACTGCCCGGCCCGCCAGGGTGCTTACCCTGGCGAGCCGCGTGCCAAACGTTGCCAACCCCTGCTCTAAAAGAATGAAACTGGAAGTAAATGGGATCTGAACAGTACTAGAGGATTACAAGAGGATGAAAGATTCTAAGGAAGTTTCCTGGAGGAGGTGGGGAGGGAATGGTTGGTGGAGGAAACTCCTTGTGAGCACATCTTACCTTCAGCTGTTCTTCATAGGGGAATCTCCACAATGGAGTTGCCACATTGGTTAGCCTGAAAAGCACAAGACAGCTGTAAACCCAAGAATCACCTGCTTCCCAAACACAGCCAATCTCAGGCCCAGGTAACACATGGAGTGGCATGGTGCACTGCACTACACACCTGAATAAATTGATTCCTGGTTACCTCATGGCCAAAGCAGGTAATTCTTACACGCACTTCAGAAACTTGTAAAACCAGCTGTGCCCCAAATTTAAATCCCAAGTGGTCATCTTCACTATTCCTCTTTGGTGACTTATACTTTGAGCAAAGGAACCTTAAATAATTGTTCCCTTTCGCCCCAGAGGATTGGTCCAGACTTTTGCATAGCACTGGCTAGTGAAAGCCAGTTGTCCTGCAGATCCTGGCTACCATTTTGAGTCACACTGAGTTGACAGTGCCAGAAGAAATGCTTCCTCTCAAACAGACCAGGAGAGGTCCACCTGAGCCCAGCATGAGGACTGACTCCAGGTTGTGAGGTAGGGGAACAGAGTGGTCATCTAATATTGTGTTTGGGGGAAAAGACTTTTAAAATGTTATGCTTATAAGAAGCACACGGGATCTTTTTCAGGGGAAAAGGCAATACGCCGCATTTATTGGAAATACAATTAGTATATGCATTCAATCTCTCTCTCTCTCCCCCCCACTTCCCCCCTGCTGCCAGTCAATGTTACAGCTACCGTCCAGAGTTCGGATCAATCTAGTGGCCAGCTAGGTTGATCACGGGTAGGTAGGAGCTGGGTTCTATCGGTCACGACACGATGGTCCGGGGAAGTCTTGGCAGGACAAACCCAAAGTTTCATGGCAAAACACCCTGTTTATATAGTGATTTTTCTTCATTGAGACCAATGAGTTTTGCACCGTCATGCTGTAATCAATTGTTGTTTGACGAGTGCTTGTTTTCTTACATTGTTTTTCAAATTTTTTATTTTGTTCTTTCATTAGTCTCTCAGGGAGTTACCCCATGCTGGTTTTGATCACAGCTATTTTGTCCCCATTTATAGGTGCCTATCTCATTTTTAGAGTTGTCAATCTGCCCCCCTCTGACATTTCAATAGGGGCATGTTACAATCTCTGGGCGCCTTTACGTCCATCCTCAATTTCTCCCCAGAACATCTGGTCCAGTAATGGCCTTCACACTTATCTTCTAACTCACACATTCCTCATTCACACACAAAACAGGATTGATTTACACAGAGCATTTGAACAGGAACATCAAATTGCAATGCAAAAAAACCCAATAATTGCATTCATAGAATCATAGAAGATTAGGGTTGGAAGAGACCTCAGGGGGTCATCTAGTCAACCCCCCCGCGCTTTTACTTATTTTAGAATGCTAAACCTACAACAAAGTGGTGACCCTAAAAGGTCTGTTACTGCCTTGAAATCAGCTTCAGACACAAAATTCTGGCTGATGCATCTCTACCAATGGCACACTAGGCCACTCCTTTCTGCTTTCAGAAAGGGTGGCTGGCAGGCCGGATATGGTCAAATCATACATCAACACATTTAATACATGCTACATTATTATTCTTTAGAATTATACAAAATACAAACATAAAATCCTACTACTACACAGTCAGGGAGAGAGAAGGAGTAGAGAGATCATGTTGCCTTCTTAACAGTCCTTATTTTGAAAACCCTCCATGGGCTTCCTCCAGCCTACCTCACAGACCTCGTCTCACTGCCCTAATTGCTCTGTCCCCTCTGACAATGGTCTCACTTCTGTCCCATCCCCCAATATTACCCTTATTAATCAGATTTTGTCATTTGAGATATCCATCCTGTATCTTCCACCAGCTCATCTTTCCATCTATTGTTACCTCTCTTCGGCAAACATCTTAACAGTGTAGTCAGTTGCACTGCTATACATATTGGAAGGGAAAATCTGAACTGCTCATACACATTGATTAACCACTCAGGCAACAGAATTCTACACGTTACCGGACAGCTCATAATTAACCTGTGAAACTCTCTGCAACATGGTATTATTGAGGCAGAGCAATTAAGAGGACTCCCCCCAAAAAAGGATTACATTAAAAATAAGGCTATGAATGAAAAAAGTATATAAACCAATGTATTTCACGATATACACCAACCACTTGCTCTCTGGATTTAGCATGATCTTACTCTACAGACAGGTATATCATAATTTTCCCTTATTGGGCTTCTTACACCTTTGTCTGAAACATCTGGTATTGTCCACTGTTAGAGAGACAGGATGGCAAACTAGATGGACTTCTGGCTTATCCAATATGGCAAGTCTTATGTACCTATGATTTTGTTCCCCCTTACCTGTGCCTCTTAATTTCTCTCTTGTTCTGTTATTATTTGTCAGATTGTGCTCTAGGGAAACCATCTCAATGTTTCTTTATCCTGCCCCAAGAGGGTTAGGAGAAGGGAGAGCTGAGAACAGCTGACATGAGGCAAGTACTTGCTGTCTGAGCTGCTCTAGGGTTCGCATGCAGCCATCTTATCAGGTGATGAAGCCAGTGCTTCAAGCTGTCAACAGAGTAGGCAGAAGCATCAGTGGATTACACTGGGAGGGCCAATTGCACTTGGTGCAGTTGCTGCACCAGAGTTCGCTGTCTACACTAGCACTTCAGCAGTGCAGAGTCACATGTTGAAATATAGCAGCAGTGTGCTATACCTCTGAAGGTGGGAACATCTGCATCACTGGGAGTGACTGTGTGGTATGTTAAATGCAAAATGGTTATGCTGGGGACTTGCCAAGGTAGTTGCAGTTATAACTTTCTTTTTTGCATGGGCAAGGTCTTTGTTAAACTTAGCTGCTTTGGTTGTGTAGATGAACCCTAGATACTGATCTGTGCCCACTTGAACCCTTCCCACTCCAGAGAGTGAGTGGTTAGTTCTTATTGATATAATTTGGTTCCATTACAGTTATGAACACCTGATCTGCAGTCAAAAAAGGTGCAGATTCCTTGGGCTCGCACAGCATATGCTGCAAAAGTTCTATACCTCTCTTCCCAGAAGGACTCCAGGCCTGGCAAGCTGCAGCCCTGTCTAGGCTTTTTCTCCTTCATCCACCTTTTCCTCGTTGCTTCATTCCTCCCTGCCACCTGTCTGCAGTCCTCATCTGGTGCAGTGCTCAAAGACGCCTGTTTCAGACTCACTGGCCAGTAAGCGCGCAGGCGTATCAGTCTCAGTGAGCAGGAGAGAGCCATCCCAGAAGGCAGGGGCTGAAACACTGGAACCAACACCACACAGTGACTCCATTATTAACATTCCAGATAGTGGGGAACTTTATAGAAACACAAACTATACAACAATGATGTGAAATAGACAAAAGCTGGAAGAAGCATTGCTCTGGCTACCACCTTCTGCTTTACCCACTGTGCTGTATCTAGATACATTACAGTACTCAGTGCAATTAAAAGGCAGCAAGTTTAAAACCAATCAAAGGAATTAAAAAAATACAAGGCATAATTAGTCTGGGGAACTCATTACCACATATTATTCAGGCTAATAACTTAGAAGGACTAAATATTTACAGAAATAATAAAAATATCAAAAGTTACACACACAAAAAAAGCAATGGAAAGAAGACATCAGTTCAGCCTGCCATGTCTGAATTGCCCTAACAAACATACGGAGTTGTGACACCCCTCCTGGAGACGGAGCAGCATCTCAAGGAGCAGGGAGAGCTGCAGGTGAAGTCCTGAAGCTTGAGCTGCTAGACTTACATGCAAAGTGTCTCTATTTAGGATGGAGAAAGACTCCCCTCCCCCACACAATATTTTTCACCCAGTCCCCTATGGAGTATCTCCAATGAGTGTCAATGTTCAATGGTGCACTCCTATGTGTCTCTCCAGGTTTCTCTCTCTATTTAATATCTTCCAAACGCTGACGGGTCTATAGGGAGGCAGCACTGAGGAGATTAGGGCAAGGGGAACCAGAGACCCAGAGAGAAAATACTGGGAGAGGAGAGACTGGAAGTGGGCATAGAGAAGGAAACATCCTCCCCTCCTGACTCCCTCTCTTGAGGTTAGCGGTATTTGCAAAGTTGAAAATGTGTGCACATTTTACACACGGTGCTTAGTTAACGGAGCACCATCAACGATTAAAGCCCCGGATCCTCAGGCCTCACCTTTGTTGCCAACACCTCAGCAAACTGCTTCCAAATCGAATCAGCCTCTCGTGTTAGGCGCTTTATTTCCCCACTTGCAATGATTGTGACACTAGATGGTGTAGTTGCTTCCTGGTTCCCAGGCACCAGCTCGGTGACGGCAACTACACATGACATGGCAGCTCACTCAGCCTTCGGCTGCTCCTTAAAGGGATAGCACTCTGTACAGCAGAGCTGCTCTGAGACGAAAATGTTGCTGATTGTTAAATGTGCTACGCGAGTCGCTTCCTTTCTACTCTTATGGCTTTGGCTACCATTTATATAGCACCTTAATTCCTGAATGATTCATGGCCTTCCACAGACTCTGTGCATACAGCTCCACCGAAAGACAGTCACTTCTGGATTAGAAAGTGGTGGAGCAATGTATGTATGTGTGTGGGGCACGTTTGGCCAAGCAGGACAAGTCAAACCTCGGTGCCGGTGAAAACTTTGGTTTTAAGGTTCCACCTCACAAAATAATCTGCTGTTTGAATGCCAACCCTGTGCCACCCTAATGATATCACTGTTATGGGGGAAGATAAAGCAGTTGCCTCCAGCAGTTTTGAAGACTTCCTCATTGCCATGGAGAGTAGAGCCACTGCCTGAATCACCTTCGCCGCTGACAGGAGCAGAAAGCTGCAGGTCATGCAGGAATTCTGTGCCACAGCCTGCCTTCCCTCAGGGTAGAGTAATGTGAACAGGACAAACCACTGTTTGAGGCTCTGGTGACACAGCACATCACTCAGGAACAGGGAGCAAGTCTGCTCCATGAATCTCTCCTCAAATGATGAAAGCCACATAAACCACCTGGCTTGAGGGAAGCCAGGTCATTGTGATAGAACACTCATGGGGCAGGAGTGCACAGCAGTTCTAGAACCGCCGCTCAAAGGCCCCAGTTGGGGCCAGAACTTGGAGGCGGCAGTTGGAAGTCCAAGATGGCGAGTCTCAACTGGAGGATGCTGAAGGCGGCCATGGAGCACTATCTCTCTGCTGGTTCCCAGACTGCGGACGAGGTGTTGAGGCCAGAGGAGCAGCTGGGAGAGGTGAGTGCCGGGCACATGGAGCGGGTGAGGCTGGGTGGGGAAACTGGTCTGGAGGCATGAGGCTTTTCTGTGGGATTGGCCGGAGGTGAGGCTGGGGGAGATTGGAGCAGGGGTTGTGAGGATGGTGGAGAAGCTGGAGTAGAGGGGTGGGACTCCAGACTGGAAGACAGAGGGCATAGTGGATCGAAATTGAGCAGGTGAGCAGTGCAGGAGGCTGCCATGGAGTATGGTCTCTCTGCCAGTTACCAGATGATGGCTGAGCTTGCGGGGGCGGGGGGAGAGAGAGAGAGAGAGGAGAAGGGGTGAGGATTTCGGCTTCCAGGGGTGGGGCTGAGGGAGGAGGAGGTGGTAAATTTGAGTCCAATGGGAAGGAAAATGTGATACACACCCTGGACATACTGATTAAAGAAGTTGGACAGTGATGCATGCAGGGAGGGCACGTCCTTCCTTCCCACCCCAGCCCACAGTTTCCTGAATGTAATGATAAAAATCTTTACAAATGTGTCTTTGCTTCTTGGGTTGCTCTGAGTTTTTTGTTGGTGTCACCTGGATCGTTACAGATTAGATTTTAAATAAAGATTTAGGGCTAGATACTCAGTCTCACTTTATCCCAGCCTCTGGCTTTCACCCACAGTTGCAATGTATTTCTTCCCACTGATCTCAGTGGGCTTTGTATCAGGCCTTTAGACATTTCAGTTACTGATGTGAGGGTAGTCAGCACACAGACATCTTAGTGACCTCAACTACACCTGCAAATTCTGTGCTCAGAAATAGAGACCAGCCTTTAAATCTCTCACCCTTAGAAAGCTGTGCCATTTGTTCTCTGCTAGAAACTAATGTTTGAGTTACTAAACTTAAAGGGTTGTTTATGATAATTGCAATGCAAATGGATTATTAAAATGTCAGCCTGAAATCCCATGACTGTGTTCTCTTTCTAGATCAGTCACAGACGACAGTTACTAGGCATAGGACCTACTCAGCTCTTGGATATGCCACTTGGTGCCAAGCTCCCCTTGCTACCAGGCTCCAATACATTGTTCTATAGAACAAATCTGGGTGAAAAGGTAAAAAATTGAATATAGAGGGGGAAAAACACATCTCATTTTCTATACTTCTCACTCCTGCCACTAAATATGCAGAGTATGTTGGAGAATAACATAAGAACATAAGAATGGCCTTAGTGGGTCAGACCAAGGGTCCATCTAGCCTAGTATCCTGTCTTCCAACAGTGGCCAATGCCAGGTGCCCCAGAGGGAATAAACAGAACAGGTAATCATCAAGTGAGCCATCCCGTCACCCATTCCCAGCTTCTGGCAAACAGAGGCTAGGGACACCATCCCTGCCCATCCTGGCTAATAGCCATTGATGGACCTATCCTCCATGAACTTATCTAGTTCTTTTTTGAATCCTGTTATGGTCTTGGCCTTCACAACATCCTCTGGCAAGGAGTTCTACAGGTTGGCTGTGTGTTGTGTGAAGAAATACTGCCTTTTATTTGTTTTAAACCTGCTGCCTATTAATTTCATTTGGTGAGTCCTAGTTCTTGTTTTATGAGAAGTAGTAAACAATACTTTCTTATCTACTTTCTCTACACCAGTCATGGTTTTATAGACCTCAATCATATCTCCCCTTAGCCGTCCCTTTTCCAAGCCGAAAAGTCCCAGTCTTATTAATCTCTCCTCATATGGAAGCCATTCCATATCCCTAATCATTTTTGTTGCCCTTTTCTGAACCTTTTCCAAGTCAATATATCTTTTTTGAGATGGGGCGACCACATCTGCACACAGTATTCAAGATGTGGGCATACCATGGATTTATATAGAGGCAACATGATATTTTCTGTCCTGTTATCTATCCCTTTCTTGCATTCTGTTCGCTTTTTTGACTGCCGCTGCACATTGAGTGGATGTTTTCAGAGAACTATCCACAAGGACTCCAAGATCTCTTTCTTGAGTGGTAACAGCTAATTTAGACTCCATCATTTTATATGTATAGTTGGGATTATGCTTTCCCATGTGCATTACTTTGCATTTATCAACATTAAATTTCATCTGCCATTTTGTTGCTGAGTCACCCAGTTTTGAGACATCCTTTTGTAGCTCTTCGCCGTCTGCCTGGGTTTTAACTATCTTTAGTAATTTTGTATCATCTGCAAATTCTGCCACTTCACTGTTTATCCCTTTTTCCAGATCATTTATGAATAAGTTGAATAGGACTGTTCCCAGTACAGACCCCTGGGGAACACCACTATTTACCTCTCCCCATTCTGAAAACTGACCATTTATTCCAACCCTTTGTTTCCTATCTTTTAACCCTCTTATCCCATGACAGCTTACTTTGCTTAAAAGCCTTTGGTCAGGGACTGGTCAAAGGCTTTCTGAAAATCTAAGTACACTATATCCACTGGATCCCCCTTGTCCACATGCTTGTTGGTCCCCTCAAAGAATTCTAGTAGATTGGTGAGGCATGATTTCCCTTTACAAAAACCACGTTGACTCTTCCCCAATACATTATGTTCATCTATATGTCTGACAATATTGTTCTTTATTATAGTTTCAACCAGTTTGCCCGGTACTGAAGTCAGGCTTACAGGCCTGTAATTGCCGGGATCACCTCTTGAGCCCTTTTTAAAAATTGGCGTCACATTAGCTATCCTCCAGTCATCTGGTACAGAAGCTGATTTAAATGATAGGTTATAGACTACAGTTAGTAGTTCTGCAGTTTCACATTTGAGTTCCTTCAGAACTCCTGGGTGAATACTATCTGGTCCTCGTGACTTATTACTGTTTAGTTTATCAATTTGTTCCAAAACCTCCTCTAATGATACCTCAATCTGGGACAGTTCCTCAGATCTTTCACCTAAAAAGAATAGCTCAGGTTTGGGAATCTCCCTCACATCCTCAGCCATGAAGACTGATGCAAAGAATTAATTTTGTTTCTCCGCAAAGGCCTTATTGTCCTTGAGTGCTCTAACAGACAATGTCCTGGCATTTCTAAGCAGAATTACTGCTCTTGTGTACTTACTCATAAGGAAAAAATACTGCAAGTAACCAAAGAAAGCCATCAAATCCATGCCACTGGGAAAAGGAAGGAATTCCAAGTACTAGTACTATCTGGTACCCAAAAGACAGCAGGGCTTTTATCATTATCTAGCCATTTAGAGGCACTGATCAAATAATAATGCTCTATGATCATGCCCCTTGTAGAGAAAGGCAACTGGCTATGCATTATGGACAGTGCTTTGGCTGGAATTTTCCATTGAGCCTAAGGAATTTGGGTACTTAATTCCCTTAGGATCCTTTGAAAATCCCACCTCATGCATATAGGGATACATCTCAATTACAGGATATACCTCAAATCTGTAATAGGGGAACAGCACTTCCAATTCCATGTACTGTCTTCTAGGACAGTGTCAGTGTCATGTGTGTTCATGGAAAGCTCAGAAGATGTTGTCTATCTGCACAGGTTGGGAGTGCATGTATTCTCCTTTCTGGAACTGCCATCCATGAATCAACCACCAGGGTGCTGAAATCTGTAGGGTTCATGATAAGCTACCCAAAGTTCCCCAGCAGGCATTTGAAATAAGTAGAAGCCCTGGTAGAATTGTTCAGCTCAAAGTTTTCCCACCCCAGGATTTGATTAAGGATATCTTAAGTCTGGTGGAGGGGATTTGTCAGCTTGCTACATATGTTAGATCTTTTGTTCTCAACAGTATTCACAGTACTGAATTGCACGTCTGCACAGGAACCAACCTCAGTGGACCTGAGCTACACAGGGACTCTCACATTTCATGCAGGTGGCAGATGGCTTTGGGGCCTCTCTGCCCTGGTGGCGGTCAAGAACAATCTTCAGCTAGAACCTGATTTCTCAGTTCTAATAGCACATGTTGTAATCACCATGAATACATCCACTTGGGATGTGGAGACCACACAGAGGGACTTCAGACTAGGAACAGCAACTACACACAAATGTTCTAGACATGAGAGCAGGTCTGTCCATGCCTACTAAGCACTTTGAGAGACTAAGGCCTAGTCTTCACTTACCGGCTGGTCCGGCGGCACGCCATCGATGTTCTGGGA